TTTCCCGTCCCCACTAGTGCAAGTGGGTAAGTGACCTACAACAGAGTTTTAAAGGCCTGAATGTGACTCTTCTTGCTCCTTTCGGTAGCTAATGAAAGAGCCTGACCACGTAGTCCTGCTGCTCGGCCTGTCAAGCATGGGGGAGCTGCCCCTGCGGTTTGGGGTCTCAGACACGGTCAGTGCAGGGGCGGGGCTGTTGGCACTCTACCAAAGAACTCTCTTCTCCAAAGCCTGCGTTAGTTACTGCAGCTACCGTGCAGATGTGACTCTTCTTGCTCCTTTCGGTAGCTAATGAAAGAGCCTGACCACGTAGTCCTGCTGCTCGGCCTGTCAAGCATGGGGGAGCTGCCCCTGCGGTTTGGGGTCTCAGACACGGTCAGTGCAGGGGCGGGGCTGTTGGCACTCTACCAAAGAACTCTCTTCTCCAAAGCCTGCGTTAGTTACTGCAGCTACCGTGCAGCCATTCTAGCCCCCTCCCTCTCGGCTCTTGCCACGTGCTTATTTCCCAGTCACCCGCTTGCCCTGGAACGTCCCTGGGCCGGATTTTTGAATGGACGACCCCCCGCACCTACTGGGACACCCCTCTCTGTGGCCTCATCTCGTCACTGCCCTTTCAACGGGCACTCCTCCCGCACCGCTTTGCTGCTTCCCTTCGGTGGTCTGGCTAGGCCAGCTTCTTTCAGCCCCGTGGCAGTTTTCTCTGTGGCTGCGAGCACTCTGCCTCCTGCCTCTGCAGCAGCTGGTCCTTCATCAAGCGGGTTTTACCCCCCCAAGCTGATGCTCTAGGCACAGGATCACCTGCCAGCAAGCCCTCTTGCTGCACTCTGTGTGTGTGTGTGTCACCTGCCAGCAAGCCCTCTTGCTGCAATGTGTGTGTGTGCGTGTCACCTGCCAGCAAACCCCTTGCTGCACTCTGTGTGTGTGTGTGTGTGTGTGTGTGCGTGTCACCTGCCAGCACCCCATGTGTCTGTGTGCGTGGCTGTGTCTGTGTGTGTGTGTGTCTGTGTGTGTGTGTAGTTGTGCGTGACTGTGTCTGCGTGTGTGTGTCTGTGTGTGTATCTGTGTGCGTGGCTGTGTCTG